TGCTTGCTGCAGTGCCCGGTGGGGGGCTTTACACTCGGAGAAGCCGCTCTCTTCCGGGGGGGCGGGAACAGCGCGTGGGGGAGTCCGGCCGTTGTTACAGTACCGGCTTCATGTATGGGGCAGCGGCAGTGGCGCACATGTTATGCAGCCCTTCTGGTGCGACGCTTCCCGGGGACGGGAATGGCGTGGGGGACGCGGGCCGTTGTTAAGGCACCGGCTTCATCTACGGGGCGGCTGCGGTGGCGGTGGCCCACATGTTATGCAGCCCTTCTGGTGCGACGCTTCCCGGGGACGGGAATCGCGTGGGGGACGCGGGCCGTTGTTAAGGCACCGGCTTCATCTACGGGGCGGCTGCGGTGGCGGTGGCCCACATGTTATGCAGCCCTTCCAGTGCGACGCTTCCGAGTTCGGCTAGCCCTGTTGGCCACAAGGTGCTCATAGGCACAGCCTTGACGACCCCCCCAGTGACTTCCGCGTACGTCACTTCCATATGGCCACATGGCCCAAGCATGCCCGCAGGCACCAACTTGACGATTTCGCATGTGACGTCATCATGACTCGGCACTTTCTTATCTGATCAAGTCCCGTTAAAAAAAGTATGTACTTATACTACTCATGTCTTACTGATATACAATAAACTGAATTCCTCAAAATCGTCTATTGAATTCCTGCTGGAAGGAAGAGAAGGAGAAAAGCTGTAGTTTCCATAGAACCAACAACTGTCATACAATATATTAATTTCTCTCCAAATGATTTATTTTTAAAATTGGGTTTCTCTCATGTTCAGTGTCACTTTTCTTTTATGTGTATTATTTCACAAACATTGCTACATTTCATTTTTAAAGTTTTATTCTTGTATAAAGTATACATATATATATTTTATATATATATATATAGACACAAATAACAAATATAGTACATACAACATATATTATTAACAGTAACAATATCCAGTTAATATAACCAACCTTTATGGAATATTAAGCCTTAGTTATATACAGTTAATGTGTTATTTTTGTCTGTGTTATATTTATATATTACATATTCTTCAGTTACCAAATACCTAGCTAAGAGCCGGACTCTGAACAAGCAGATTTCTGATAGTGCTGCAGTTGATTTGCCAAGACAATGCTTTATTAGCTCTGAAATTCAGATACAACCATGCTGGTTGGCTAAGATCAAAGTTATGGTCCAGTCCAACTGGAAACCACCAGGCTGGGAAAGCTGAGCTAGAATCAAGACAATTTCACTCATCTCTTTAAAGGTATCAGTTCTTCTCCCAACCATCCCCCTGAATTA